TAATTTTGTAACCTTTAATTATCACATTTCTTTTATTCAATTTGGTTGTTAAGAAAAAAGATAGCTCAGTGCAATGAGCTTTCAGTACGCGCAGGGTTCAAGGAATAGTCAAACCCCATACTCAATTTATCCCACATTATGTGAAGTCATTTGACAGAGTATAATTTTATTTTAAAAGAAGACTTGTGAAACTTGTAATCTAAAATTAATCATAGAAATTTGTATGACTATAAATCATTTCATTAAGGAATAATGAAAATTTTGAAGCTAAATTGTTAGATGTTATTTGTTTTGAACGGACTAAAAAGAAAAAAATTAAATGTGACGTTTATTAGGACGGGAGAGTAATATTTTACATTATATTTTTTATAACACCCCAAAAATTTCTAAGCTAAGACTTGAATCATTCAGTAATACCTCGCAACTCTACTCTTAAAGTGATCTAGGTTCATAAGGGACCTCAAACACCAAGTCACGTTTAAAGCATTTATATCGGCTAAGTTCTCGCATGAGTTCATATAGAGGTCAATTTCAAACAATCATATCTCCCAGACTATACTGAATTAGGTAGTCAATGACCTATCAAATTAAAGATCTATGAGTCTGCTTTCTAACTCCATCAATTTTTCTTTATTTCGGATTTGTAGTAAAAAGTTATGATAGTTTTACTGGAACATGTCCGAGCAGGAAAATTCGGCGAGAATACCTGCCCATTTGGCGACTCGTTGAATAGGTTGGCGAATCACTGAATTAGCTCACCAAATTGTCCTGAAAACCCTAGGTCTCTGGATATTTTGGCGATCTAAAACCCCATTTGGCGAACCGCCAACTATTTCGGTGAGGAGACCTCCAGATCGCTGATTTGGGCTTTGTGATTCACTAAAAGGTCATTTTCTTTTATTTTTATGGTCTTCTTACGTTTCTAGAAGGGTATTTTTGACCTTTTACCTCAATCAACTTCCCTAAGTCCATCTTACAACCTAATAACATCAATATACGTATGACAACTCTCAAAATCCCCAATTCTCATTCTTCCAAATATCAAGAACTCCAAGAAAGAGATTTTTTCAATTTTGCAAGATCTAAAGGCTCCAAATTCAAGATTTTCTTCAAGAATCCTAAGGTTTTTAATCCAAGATTTTTCTCCACTCTTCATCTCCAAAAAAACCCGCAAGATAGGCAAAATCTAGGGTTTCAAGACTTCCTATCAAGTTCTTTTTCAAACTCTTTCAAGAACTTTGTTCTTCCAGGTATATAAGGCTAATCATAGTGATGGACTAAGTTCTTCCTCACACCTTACATCTAAATTCAGTCAGTAAAAGTTTAATCTAGGGTTATACTCTTAGTTTTGAGAATTTCTGAGCTGAGTTATATTATTGATTTTAAGTTCTAAATTTTAGATTATGAGCTTCTATATATTATGCATTGAGATCTTTGAGTTGTTGTTCATGTTTATATTCTCGGATGAACCCCATTTACTGAATTTTCATTCAGAACCTTTTAATCAAACACTTTTTCTTAAATTGATTTTGAGAAGTTAAAAGTGAGTTCAAGAGTACAGTTTAAAGTATATTTTTTTTAGTAGAATTTAAGGAAACTAAATGACTCCCAAAAGTATCATTTTACATGGGAAAGCGAACACTATTTTCGGAAAAGTATAAGAGTGTTTCCGAGTTTCTCAGACAGAGTTATTACAGAGCAGTTACCTCTTAAAGAGGCTCTTTTGAGAACTTATCTCAATCCAAAGAGAGTATCTTTACTTGAACATTGAGTTATATATTTTGGGAGTAGTATTGAGACCCGATATGGGGACGAGTTCAGACAACTCACATCGCCCATAAACCACGTTGCCAGTTTGGGTTAGGATCACATTGACTTTCAAGCGGCTCGCTCACTACCTTTGAGCAGACCTTTTCAGATGGATCCATGAGTTGAGTTTGTTCTATACCCCCACAAAGTATAGGACAGTTCAAGCACGGGGACGAGACGTTGTATCATCATGAGGCTCATAGTGATGGTTGTCGGTTAGAGAAACTCTCTAGTAAAGTAAAGTATATTTTTATATACATATTTCAGTTTAGTATTTCCTATTATTGTATCCTTACAGTAAGAACTTAAATGATCTTTTCATCGTGATTTATACTATATTTTAGTTAAATTACCTTTAGACTTTTTGTTAAATTATTTATTATTCAGTTATATTATATACTCATACATTCAATGTACTAATGTCATTCGACCTGTATCTTTTGATGATGTAGATTTAGGTACTAGGATCCTCAACAGGAGTTCTGTTAAGATCACTACATCTGCTCGTCAGCTTTTGAGTGAGACCTCCTTGCTTTCAGAGGACTCCAATTTTTATGAGTTGTTGGTAGTAACATTTTAAAGTATTGTGGGTCTTGTATAGAAACTCATTTGTATACAGTGGAGACTTCATAGATAGACAATTTTGGAGATTCTTTCAGTTTCAGATATTTTATTTAAAACTTATTTTCATACTCAGTTATTCAGAGAGTTTTGAGATTCAGTAAAATGTAGTTAAATATTTTTTCAGTTTAATGTTTGATTTTAAGAAGTTAAATGTGAGATCAAAAGTAAAGTTTGAAGTACATTTTTTAGAGTTTGAGGGAACTAAATGATTTCCAAATGTTTCATTTTTACATAGAGAAAGAGAGCACTATGAGAAAAGTATAAGAGTTTTTTAGATAGAGTTATTACAGAGTAATTACCTCTTAAAAAAACCTTTTTGAGAACTTATCTCAACTCATTGAGAGTATTTTTACTTGAGCATTGAGTTATATATTTTGTGAATAGTATTGAACACTGATATAGGGAAGAGTCTAGACAACTCACATTCCCCATAAACCACCTAGCCAGCGTGGGTTAGGATCGCACCAATTTTCGGGCGACTCCTCACTATCTTTGAGAAGACCTTTCAGATGGATCCATGAGCTGAGTTTGTTCTATACCCCGACAAGGTATACGATAATTCTAATAATGTGGGGCGAGACGTTGTACCATTATAAAACTCATAGTGATGGTTGTTAGTTAGAAACTCCTAGTAAAGTAAAGTATATTTTATATGCATATTTCAGTTTAGTATTTTCTATTATTGCATCCTTACGTTAAGAGCATGACTTTTATCATGATTTATACTATATTTCAGTTGAGTTACCTTTTGGCTTTCAGTTCAGTTATTTTTTATTCAACTATATTACATACTTGTACATTCAATGTATTGATGTCATTTGTCTTGTATTTTTTTTATGATGTAGATTTAGGTACTTAGGATCCTCAACATGATTTCTGTTAAGATCACTACGTTAGCTTTTGAGTGAGACCTCCTTGCTTTTGGAGGACTCTAGTTTTTATGAGTTGTTGGTAGTAACATTTTAAAGTATTGTGGGTCTTGTCCTGACACTCATGTTTATACAGTAGAGACTTCATAGATAGACAATTTTGGAGAGTCTTTCAGTTTCAGATATTTATTTAAAACTTATGTTTCATACACAGTATATTTCGAAAGTTTTAAAATTCAGTAAACTGTTGTTAAACATTTCTTTCAGTTTGATGTTCGTGTATGCTTGGGTTAGTCTTTTGTTTGTAGTCATCCAGAATGAGGGTTCACTTGGGACCAAAACAATGGTTCTCAAGTACCGGCCACGTTCAGGGTTTAGATTCGAATCGTGATACTTTGTACGAAACAATTTTCAAAACTTTAACCTATGGCTTACTAGTTATACAGTGACAAATCTTATTGTTACGTCAAGCTTTTCATAATTAAAAATGAACAAGACCTCAACGCCGTTCTTTCCCCATATGGAATTGTTGCAACTGTTTCACAATCATTACGTTTTCTTCAAAGGATTGATGGTTGCTTCCAAGCCCACCTCCTCGTCGCCATTGCTTGGTCACTTTCTTTTTCACTAAGTTATTACTTTGGGACCTTAAAGTACGATCGGGGTTGTTTCCCTTTTGGACCTTAGCACCCAAAAAAATTGTTTGTACAAATGATCTACGCCTTATTCAGAGTTTTCCTAGATTGGTAAGGCAAAATGATCGGGTCGCCCTATCTCATTGAGTGTTCTGCCTCAGGCCATCGACACCATACCCTATATTGAAAGAATTTCGCGAAAAATCAGCTATATACGATCTTGGTTGGCCTATCACCCCTAGACACAAGTCATTCTCGTATTTTTTTCATATACGTATATTCGATCGTTCAAGGCCTGTTAGAGCTCTCTAAAGGATACACACTTATTTTATTGCATTGGTATGATTATTAGGATCTATTCTTAGAAGAATGATTTATTTGGATCAACTAGCATTCTTCATATAAAAAATTAAGAATCAATGGAATGTTTGTTTATCAATGAACATCTACATGGGTTACCACTATTGGAAAACACATTTGGATTCCAAAGTAATTATAAGGATAGAATGATGACAAGAGGAGGCTACTACTCGATGAGATTAGTCTACAAAAGATTTTAAGTTTAGACTATAATGACTGGAATTCTCACTTACTCAATAATTTGAGTTGATAGAGCTTTCAAAAGAAAAAAAAGGAGTGAATAGGGTTTATGGATCATCAATACACCAGCTAAGAAAAAGTATGTAAGAAATACGTCTTCTAATTCTCATAATATCTTAAGCACGAGAGATTTCTTATGTTTCATCAATTTTGTCTGAATCCTACCTTTCTTTTGAAAAGAGGGAAGGAGAAGGATCTTCTTTAGTGGATCCCTCTTGTTCATGTCCCCTTCATCTCAAAGGCCCTTTCTTATTTCTACATCACTTTCTTCCTCACTTATGACACGATATAAAAGATAACTTTCGATAGATTGAAAACACCAAGCGGTCTAACCTAATCCCCAAGATGGACCCCAATCGAAAGACGCTAGACGGAGTAAGAACAAGCTAGATAAATAACTTATAAGTAATGCAAATTACAAAGCCATATATCTTGGCACTTTCATAATGTCATCGTCATATTTACATTATTAGACTTCCTTTTTTTTTTTTATCACAACCGACGCTCATTAGTTTTATTTTATTCCTACAACTATAAATAGAAGTAAAAGAACACTACAAAAAGAGAAGATTGTTCACATTTACTCCCTTGGTCAATCCTAACAGCTAATTTACAACCCAACTTCTCCTCTCACACACACAAAACAAAAAAATACATTATATATCTGCAGAACAAAGAAGACAATTTTGTTCAAATCAATGGCTGAAATACAGAAATCTGATGAAGAAATGCCTAGAGTTATAAATTTCATGGCTTCTGTTCTTGAAAGAGTGGCGGAAACAAATGATCTCAACGGTAGATATAGTGCACAAAAAATTTCGATATTTGATGGACTTACTAGGCCTACAATTTCTGTTCAAAGTTACTTGGAGAGGATATTCAAATATGCAAATTGTAGCCCTTCTTGTTTCATCGTGGCGTATATTTATCTTGATCGATTCTCACAGATGCAGCCATTGTTGCCGATCAATTCTTTCAATGTTCATCGCTTACTCATCACGAGTGTCTTGGTTTCTGCTAAATTCATGGATGATATGTGAGTTCTTTCACTTCGCTTTGTTTTCAAATTTCTTATATAATATAAATTGTACATACATTTAATATCAATCTTAAAACATAATATGATAGATTTATAATTTTAGCTAAGTTTTAGCAATCACATTATTGTACATATATATATGCACAAAACATAGAACAGAGCTAATAGGAAAAAAAATTCAGAGTTTTGCTTCACAACTTTCTGTACTTGAAAAATATTACTGAATTTTTTTCATTTTACTATTTTTTATGACTTATGACATGATATGTTTAAAATCATGAATTTTGATTTTTTTTTTTTTTTAAAGTATGTGGCCTATAAGACATAATCGTCAAATAAATTGAAACGATTTGAGTAATTGTTTACTTGTAATGTGAGTAGTATAACAGGTCATTTGCCAGATAGGATGATGACTATAATGATTTGATTTTTAGAAAATAGATACTTTAGAAAGAACTTTTATAATGACTTGATTTTGGTTGGAAATACGTTATTTCAGGATTAATTTCTAAGATAACTATCACATCATGTATAAGGGAAAACTTAGATTAGATAAGTTATTCCAACCTTGACAACTAAACAAGACATCAAAATTTTATTTCTAGACTAATTTTTATCTCAAAACTATTTATTTCTATCTCTCACACCTCACCACACCACACCACACCACATGGACAGATAGATTCTTGCTGTTAGTTTCTGAAAAAACCTTTTACATCTACAAAATTACTAGTACAAATTAGTGAAAGTATGATTTTTTGTAATTATTTTGGACTTATAAAAAATCATAATAAAAATTGCCTTGAAATTCGTGCTGCACAGTATGAAAGCTCTTGTGAAAGAGTAGTTTGTAAGCACCATGTATCCTGACTTTGACATAATTGGTTAACTTACTAATTCATCCAACTTCGTTGACCTTACATCATTAATTCCTTAAACAAATTAGTAGTGTCTAACATAAGGAATTATCGTATTTACCTATACTAATAGAATGTTACTTAATTGCTTTGTTTTTTTAAATAGAAACTAATTCCATTTATCATCTTTAAAGGGCACCTAAAAATATGAAAGGCCAAAAATTACTAGGTAATATCCTCTCATCTGCTTAAGTTTTGATAGACATATGTATCTTTAGTAGATAAAGTTATTTTTTGTATCTATATTAATAAAACCTAATAAACATTTGGTTAAATAATCGAGAAGCACGCGAATTGATTGGCTAAGGTGCATTTAAATACCAAGTTGCCGACGCCATCCTGAAGCAAAAGCGGTATCAAATAAGAACATGTGAAATGTCCATGTTTCAAATCCAGACAAAATCACCTAAGATATGATGTGCTGTCTTTTGTCTGCTGACCCTCCCAACGTTTTTGTGTGACTATAAATCAATTCATTAGGGGTGAAGAAGAAATTTTAAAGTTAGATTGTTTTCAATTATAGATTTTTTTTTTTTTTTATGGATTAATAAAAAAATTTCTCTATCACATAAATTGAGAGAGAGAAAATATTGAAGTGGTGTACTTAAGTAATTAATTAAGTTGGACTCTATAGTAATGATTTATGTAAAATTTATTAGTATTGTTATAGTTAAATATTAATTTATAATGATATATAGGTACCCTTTCTAGTTTAAATTTGCCTCTAATTATGAAATGCAAGCCAATTAAGTTTTTGTGTGGCTATGAATCATTTCATTAAGGGTGAAAAAGAAGTAAAATGTTGCTTGCTTATACTAATAACTAAAAGTTTTTATTAACATTAATATTAAATGTCAAAATGATGAAATAAATGTGATCTCTATATATATATATCTAATATAAATGAAATCTATCCTGATTGAATTCTAAGAATAAAATAATTTATTCTATAAAGTAAATTTTCCCCTTTAAAACGCCCTATAGTCTATATTAATAGGTTTAGTGCTTTGTGATTACTACATAATTATAATAAAAAAAAACTGTAACGCAACTATGCTAGCTCTGTAGCTTTGACATTTTCCTTTTTTCGTCGGTTGATCCTTCTATTTTTGGTTTTTATTTTAATTTTTTTTAAAAATGATTTTGGTAATTAGTGGAATATCCAATTGTAGATCTGAAATCTTGATTTTTAGAAAGGCATTATTAGCTGTCATTCAACTCTTTGCTATTGTCACTAATTAAATTACAATTAATTTGCTTTTTTAGTAGCTTTCAACTTAATTCCTTGATGTGAAGTTTATAATCAGTGATCCTCCACTACAGGCCCCCACCATCCCCAACAATATTCTAATTAAGACGATTTAACATGACATTATTATACTTAAAAGATATTAAACAATCTATCTGTCATAGTTATCTTAACATAATTATGATTTTAAGTATTATGACATTTTTACCTAAAAAGTTGAATTAGCTCGAAGGTTGTTTAATCAGATATTCACATGTATATTGAAATTTCTCATTTATTTGGTAACACAATAAGCATAAAGTTTGGGAAAGTAAATATTTCAATCATTTTTTTTATCTCTTACTTTGTGTCGAGTATCCAATTTGAAATTTGACTAATCTGGATCCACGTCGGGAGATTTCAACCTTAGGAGGTAAACTAATGCTCCCTATGCATAAATGACTTTGTTCCCCGGGTTCAAATCTAAGACATCTGATTAAAAATGTATAAAAAGTTACTTACCATAACGCTTGAATTTTCACGATAAATATTTCAATTGTTATGAATTAATTGCGCGCATTGTCTTGAAAGTTGAAAAATATTTTGGTTTTGGCAGATTTTACAACAATGGTTACTATGGGAAAGTAGGAGGAATAAGCACAAGGGAGATGAACTTGCTAGAAGTGGACTTCTTATTTGGAATAGGGTTTCAATTAAATGTGACTCCCACAACGTTCCACACCTATTGCTCTTATCTCCACACTGAGATGTTGATGCTTGAAATCCCAATGCCTCTCAAAATTGTCAACCAACAATGTTGGGTTAACGACGACGAATCCTCCACTCATGAGCTAGACGTTTCACAAATAATACAAAAATTATTGGACTAATTTTTGTCACTAGCTAGCTAGGTCAAGATTCTATACTACTCTTTGGCCGGCTTTATCAAGTTGTAAACAAGAATTAATGTTGCAACTTTGTGGATTCTTCATGTTCCATTTTTGAACGTTTTTTAATGAGTTTTGCAGCAGAATCGGACTTTAATTTCCTCAATTAATTTGAGATTTTGGGTACATGAACTTTTTATTAGTCATTAGAATAATTGAGTTAGTAACTTCAATTATCATAAGACATGTAACAACATACTCTTAACATTGAAATTTACGACTTTTTAGACGCTATACAAACGGACACTTTTTAGGTCCATGTTGTGTTTTAAACCATAAAGGGAGGGTCCCTTTTGATCTATATGGAGTTCAAAAGATGTCCGTTTTGAGGCCGGACTCAACAATAAAGTGTTTCACCTAATTATTTGTTACAATTCAAACCGTTGTGATTGACACCCACACTAACCCTCCGGTGGGAGAACCATTACTACAACTCAAACTAACAAATTATATGAAAACTAAGGCATTTAAAGATACGGAAGCATGTTTAAATGACAATAAAAATGGAGTCTTCATAAACTCCAAGGGTTCAACTAAAACAACGAACCATAACTTGTGGATTTTTTTTTTGTAAAATTTCCATTTTACTCCTTCTGATAGTTGCCTTGATAGTTGCCTCGGTTCATTTCTAGATCAGGCGGTGAAGTTGGTTTGAAATTTTGAACTATTCGATAACTACGATTAGTTAATTGGCGAATATTTATAAAATAATTAATTTATTTAGTGTCAAACCATTTAATTAGCGAATATTTAATTTATTGTAAAAAATTTACAAAACCCATAGTGTAAGGAGCAAATTACATTCTATTCCTACTCTTTTACAAAAATTCCCTAAAATTGTTGTCATCCGCATACATCTTATTCTTCCGGATACATCACATTTGATACATTATATAACTAGTTTGTTGAGATTAAAAAGGAAATTAAATATAAAATTAAATGTTAGCTCTCCAAATAATGCAAATCAAATTAATGCCAATCTCTCCCAAATAACAGCTCCAAACAATTCAAATTTTCTTCTCTCAAATCTCTCCCAAATCGTAATAGATTAAAAAAAAGTCTACAATTTTATATAGTTATATATCATATAAAAAAACATATGCACTGATATTTATAAAATTGTGTTGCAGATACTTAACATGTGATACATAACTATGTTATATACATAGCAAAGTTATGTGTCATATACATTACTATGAATATGATACAAACTGATTTTGTTATAAAACATTAGTGTTTATGTATCAACAGTAACATTTGGTAGTGTCTACAGATACATAGCTTTTGACTAGTTGAATAAGGCAGGGTGTATGTATCGATAGTAAAAGATAACAAAATTTGTAATAGTTGTGTATCCAATACATAACTATGAACATGATACATACTAATTTGAGTTTCAATAAATTAGAGTTATGTATCAAAACTAATATTTGAAAACGATATATTGTACATGATAAAATTGTAATGTATCATAAAGGTGAAACGATCAAATTATACAATAATTTAAGAATCAAAATCAACTAGATACATTAAAATATCTGTTGAAAGCAACAAAAAATAAAAATAAAATCAACAATTTGATCTGTTAAAAGCAAAAAAAAAATGATGAAAAAATCTTTCCACACTTTCTCCTTTGTTCTGTATCAACTCTTGTAGTTTTTTTCACTTTCAATAATAGTGTTACCTATGGATCTCGACCCAAAGCCCTTTCCGGAGCCACCAACAACTCTTGATAACATTGTAATGTGTGTGTGTGTGTGTGTATATATATATATATATATATATATATATATTGATTTAGTATTAATTTAACAAAATTATCATCCTTAATGATACTAATACAATATATAATACTTATTTAGTACTCCTATCAGTTAAGCAAAATTAATTGGGGAGTATATAGTGTAATTATATAATGGGATATAAATCTAAAGGAGTATATATTTGTAATTATTTTGCTTTTATGAAATATTTACTTAGTTTCTCCTTCAAATTATGTTTAAAGCTGAATAATGGGGAAAATATGAATGTGAAGAGTGCAATCTTCATGGGTTAATGCTTCTATAGAAAAAATAGAAAGACAATGCGTAATTCATGAACAAATAAATGCATGTACTTTGAACAATCTCATGATGTAACTTGTATATCATATGTATATCACATATATATTATGTGTATATAATACGGATGCAGATGACATACACAGAGCATATACAAGATATATGCATAACATACAATGATATACATATATCCTTTGGCGCATCACCACTAGTTAGTAGTTCTATCATAACAATACAAAAATCGTTTCAATTAATTTTATTTTTTTGATATTACTGCATAACCAAGTCAAACCATTGCACAACCATTCAAAAATTACTCTTTTTGTCCGTTGAGATAACAATTCTATTAAAATTGATTTATATTTTATAATTTTACCTAGTTTAACCCACTTTATATATGATTTAAGCATGTTTTCTCATTCTTTAGCCCAACCTTTAAATAATAATGATGATTGGTCAAAATTTCACAAACTTTCTACAGGTACACGAATAGGCGTTACAAGCTCAAAATTTATATTTACACGATGAGTGACACCAAAATCAATTGCATCTTTATACTTATACATATCTAAAAGTCAAAAACACAAGTTAGTTATATAAATTTTAAATTCAAGTTTGTTAGTTTGTTGGATCAGGTGATCTTTCCATCGATTGAAAATTAGAGTTTAATTGAAACTTAAATTTGAAGCGACTGAAAATAGATTTGAGTTAAATCTTAAATTTGAATTTTTCGAATTTGTTAGTTGTTTGAATTGAGTGTTAATGGAAACATCAAGAGAAGATCAAAACTTAAATCTGAAGTGATTTGGAGTAGATTTGAGACAAATTTCAAACGAGCTCAAGGAAGAAGACGGAGTCAAATTTTGTATAATAATGCATAATACTGCTTAATGGTATATATAGATACTACCATAAAAGTGTGAATTGCATGGGGATTTTCTTGGGAATTAGTATGAAAATCTGTAGGAAACTTATTTTCCTGCAAATTTTCATACTAATCCCCAGGAAAATCCCCATGTAATTCACACTTTTCTTGTACTAGATATATAAACACATCTAATACATTGTAATACATCTATATACATAATATATATATATAAGTGAACGTATGACATTGCATTAAGGTGTATAAGCGTCTCTAACTTGTTCAAATCAATCTAAGTCTCCAATAAATAACTCAAATTTTGTGAATAATCTTCTTATATGTTTGTGCAAAATCTAAATATATTTAAAAAATTTGGTCTAAATTACTAGTATTTTTATGACTATAAATTACTTTATTTAAGATAAAAAATAATGATTTAAAGTTAAATTGTTTTTCTTTATAGAAAAATAGGATTCCTTTTACACCCACTAAAAAAATATACAACATAAGTTTAGCATTAAATTCTAAAAATTCATTATATCGACTATTGCTATTTGCACACAATTCCAAACAATTTCACAAACGACTCTATAATAGAAGCTTGAAATTTTATCCTTCCATTCTCCTTCTGGACATAACACATGTCTCTTATTTTGAAATTATTTTATTTATTTTTATTGTTATTTTTAATATATTAATTTTTTTTACATATTTTATATTTTATGCTTAATGTTAATTATTTCTTCTCCAAATTACATTTATCAACTAACCACGCAACGTGCGGGCACATATACTAGTTATTTCTTAAAAGGAGAGTAAAGTATAAAGTGGGCAAGTAAAAGCTAACGGAGAGAGAAATATACTACTTCATTCATTTTAATTAATTTGTTTGTTTTATTTTCTTTTTAGTCCCTTTAAAAAAGAACATTTTTTCGTTTTTGGCAACTCTTTAATTTCAACTTCTCATGAGACATATTTAGGATAACGAAATTCAAAAGTCTTCTTTACTTTCTTAAAATAGAAGATATTTTAACATATTTTACATATATTTAGTTTAACACTACGAGATTCGAAACATCGCTAGTGTATGGCCACAAAATTTCAAATATTTTTGACAAGTCATTTTTTTGGTGAAGTTTCACCACGTTTTTGGTCATAGACTTTGGGAGAAATATTTAACTTTAGAAAAAAATGAATTATACCCAAAAGTTCTAAAAATTATTAAAAATACTCATAAGTTTATATTATCGTTTATAATGAAAATATTCTTGAAAGCTATGACAATGAACATAATTAATATGAATTTGAAAAAAGAGGAAGAAAACAAAAGAAAATACTATTGATTTGTATACAAAAAGCTCTATTACTACTTGTAATTGGAAGTGACTTTGGCTAGCAAGCTCGGATAAAATTTATATAAAATATGTATATATTGGTATAAATTCTGTACAACAAACTAGAAATGAAATTTAGTCTTAAACTATAAATGATGTGCATTTTTATAAAATATAAAGTTTGAAGTAATTTTTAGGGAAAATGGTCTGAAAAATACTCTAACTTTGGCTGAAATTATTGTTACGATACCAAACTTTATGGAGAACTTTTTACCCCCCTGCACTATTTAATAGAGTATTTAAAAGGTATATATGTGCCCACGTGGACACGTTACTATTTATAATGATTCAATATTTATGATGTTCACGTGGGCACATATATACCTGTAAAACACACTATTAAATAGTGCAAGGGGGGTAAAAGGTCCTTTCCAAAGTTCGGTATTGTTACAACAAAAAGTTGGCCCAAATTCTAGTTTTTCCTAGAACTTGGGAACTTGGGATGTTTGCCACATATATTTGTAAAGTAATGACAAATTATATGGCCAAACACTACTCCCTCCGTCCACTTTTATTTGTCGTGGTTTCTTTTTTTTATAGTCAAACTATTAAAACTTTGACTAACATGTAACACCCCAACTTTTCTAAACGTCTAAATTAATTCATACATTTGTGGAAAGACAAAGAGGGTGGGTAATAAATTAAGAATGATGTGGTATGTCATATTTTAAGTGTTAAAGGGTTGTATCTCAAGTTTTGAAGTAAGATAAGTCGCAAAATAAAAGTGGGCGAAAGTTATCGTAAGTTCCTTTTTAAAGATTTCTCTGAAATTTGGGTCATATATTTCGGAAGTTTTCTCCCAATCTATAACGAGTTATGGGGCCCAAG